GTCATTAAATCCATTATTATAAAATTGCCTACATACTGAAAGAAAACATGAATTTAAAAACTAGAAAAAAAAAACAGTAAAATAAGAATCAAGCGTAAAAGAATGAACAAAATTCAACAAATAAAAAGAAAAAACTTCTAAAAATATCTGAACTGTAATATATAATAATATATAATATATAATAATAATCCCCAAAGTATTTTTAATATTCATTCATTTATTTATTTTAATTAATTATACATGACAGCAGAATACATTTTGATTTGTTGTACACAAATGGAGCACAACTTTTCAGTATGTTTTAACAACAGATCATACACTACAAAAGAAAAGATCAATGAACTTGAATGCAAAAGAATAGAAGATAGTTACAATGAAAGAGAGAAAAAAAGATGAAAACAGACTCAGTAACRTGTAAGAAAACAATAGGGGTCAGAATATGAGTAACTGGAGTTCCAAAAAGTGCAGAGAGAAAGAGGGTCAGAAGAAAATATTTGAAAAAATAATGACGAAAAATAAATGGATTTAATGAAAAATATTTTTATATACCAAATAATCTCAATAAAATTTGATAAAAACAGAATATCACTAACTTCTCATCAGAAACAATGTAGGCCAGAAGATAATGAAATAATATCTTTGAAGTATCAAAAGAAAATTATTTTAAATGCAAATAAACAATTTTTCTATACAAAACTGAATTCAACAGGATATCCCTAAAAGTAATACAAATTAATAACATCTGCTGTCCAAAAAAGTATACCCAACCTGAAGCAGTATGCTTCCAGAGGCATGTAGTACAAGAACTGTTAAAGATAGCTCCTTGGGTTACAAGAAATTGGTACTACATAAAAACTAAGAATTGCAAAAGAGAATGGAGACTACCAGGATTCAGTTGAAACACAACAATGAGGAAAACTTAGAGAAGTAAATATCACAGTAGCAACAGCTGGGCGGGGGGTGGGGGGGGGAGACTGAAGCAGTAAATAACTGGACTCTTTTAAGAGGATATGTGTATACCAGAGATTGCTGTACACATTCCTTCATATTTGCAGGTCTTCAGGGTTTAGGTTAATCCATGATTCAAGTAAATGCTTAAGAATAGCACCTTTATTCAAAAAAGATCTCACATGTGTGAAAATGTCAAAAAGAATCCTCTTATCCTATATAATCAGTATATGCTAATTATTACAATAAAAATTGCCCAGTAGTATTTAATTCTAAAATTGAAATATTTTAAATATATACACAATCTAACCTATAACCAGGAAGTCTTTCTGTCTAAATTCTGTGCAACTGCAATGGAATGTTAATATGGAGCCTTGTTACTACAGTATGGATTATCTCCTGACATTAAATTTGTATAAAGGAGTGAAAGCAAAAGCTATCAAAGGCCAGAGATAGAGTTAAATATTCTTTTATTAATAGAGAAGTAGGGAAAAAATGGGAACATACTCAACATGTATTTAGAAATTTGAGATATTACAAGTTGGAAATGAAAATAACAAATATTCTGTTGTTAATACTGCTCAATACCCTGAATTATTATTTTTTGTTGCTGTGATATAATTCACTACATTGTTATTTGATGTTGTTGAGAAATAACTGAGTCATTATTTTATTATTTGTGTTGGATTTAAAAAGGACTGTACTTGAGTAACCATAGAAGATCATGTGAGTACAACTTTTTTTCCCCATTGAATTGACAATAACATGCAGTGATGCCATTTCTATGATCCAGTGGAGGTGAATTTCCATTGTTTCTTATGCTTAAAACTCAATACATTATAACTTATATCGATTATGTATGTTTTGCTTCTGTTCTTTCACTTTTAAGAATACGGTCCTGAAGCCTTGACTGACCAGATTACTATAAATTAACTAAATTCAATGAAATGTTTTCATGCACTAAAAATTATCTAAGAAGCACATGCTTCAAGTGTTTCAAGTTTAGTATTCAGGCTCAGTGTTTCTGGGTTTGAGTTTCACTTACTTTTTACAAAACTAAATTAAAATATTTCAAGTGAAAAAGACAACATGGGAATTTCCTTGGAGGCCAAATAATACGTTCTGAACAAGACTGCCAGAAGTTAATATGTGAGAGAACTGGAGAATTTTCAGGCTATTAAAACATGAGAAATGTAAGAATTTTGAATTCACTCAAATTTAAAGGCTAATGGCTATGGAAACTTTTTGCCAMTTTTCAAAAGTCAAGGTGAATAAATTAATATTTATTTTTAATCATATGTAAATGAAATTGAATAATAGAATTCTAAGTATTTCAATAGAGTAATCATGGATTCATTTGCATTTTAGGGCACTTTTTTGTATCCCTCTGATAGCTTTATATTTATTTAGAAAGCTGAAACTTTCTCCTTTTGCCTGATGCTCATAAATAACAAGGATTTTAATGAATAGTRAAAATTACCTACTTAAATATGCACATATTTTAGGCTATTGATGATCTATGTTAAAATTAAATCCAAACATTCATAATAATACTATTATTAAAAGCATCTTGTGATCATTAAACTGATTTTTTTTATTAGTAAACTGTAATAATTTACATTTGTGATGTTTTAGGAGAAGAAAACACAAACTTCATTTTAAAATTTAAAAAATAGGTTTATTCATAATTTTATTGTTAAAAGGAAAAATTAAATTTTAAAATAAAAAATTATTAATCAACCCCACAAAAAACTTTTAGTGAAGAATTGCAAATTTTAAGAACTGCCGAAGTCCAGCTGCAGCAAAATAACCGGGGGTGAGGAGCAACTTGTGTACATTGATACAGCAGGAGTGGGAGCCCTTTATTGTAGGACAGGAGGGGTATATATACATTCCACACAGCTTATCTTAATTAACATAAATTAGATACAGCAGTCAACCAATAAGGAATCTCCACACTTAATGGCTCACTGGCACCAACTCACAAACCACTCCCCCTGGCAAAATGCCAAGTGCCATCCCRACTTGTTTACAGACTCTAACAAAGAACCAAATGTTTCTGATTTGCTTGGTATCAACTTGATTTCTGTAAACAACTTACTACATGAAATATTGTTTTTTTTTTCCCTAGTTTAGTCATTTTGACATTTGACAGAGCATTTCTAATTTAGAGGGTTTGCAGACATTTGAGCCTATATCAGGAAGAACAAAAAAATCAGACTTATAAAATTGAGAATATTAAGTTAAAAGATGAAATAAAATATATTAATCCCAAATTTTCTAAACAAGACAAAGGCTTCATTCTATTATTTATATATTTATAATATTATACTTGAATAGAAATGAAATCCTAATAATGCACAGAGCATATATTTTTAATTCAAAAATCAAGTTAAACAATTTATTTTCAAATGTATTAGTTTAGTGTTTGCCCTGGTCATAATTTGGTCCGTCTTAACTTGAAATTTTTAATAATATGCAGAGCACATCAGAAACTAAAATAAATATTAATTTTAACTCAATTCTGAGTCATGCTTCTTTTAATTTGTCTTTTTCACATAAATATACATTGACTTGTAATTATTCATATAGTGTTTATGTTCACAATGAATACAATGGAAAACCATGTCTGTTCATCTTTACAAGGTTATTTTCATCAACCAAAATTAATGCTTTCCAGTGTCCTTATTTTCTTTGTGCTCTTGGCCTTCTGGAATCCTCTAATATTATTTTTTTTACCCCAATTATTCCTAAAGAATAAAGTTCATACAAGGAAACAGGACATCACAAATATTTTGTGTCTTTTTCTGTGCTTCCATTGACTCCTGTTAGAGTAATTCATGATGTTTTGATGGCTGGAAATAGGGGGAAAAATCACTGGCTTCTGAAAGAATAAAGGACAAGGAACAGAGTGAAAATTATAGGAGACTTGTCATGTCATACCTTGATAAGAAAAATGAGTGTATCAGCTTTTCTTCTCTATTTTTCATTGATAATTCACTGTATGTATGAGACTTTTTCTTTATCCTAATGTTAGTGACTTTGTGCTGTCATACAGTTCTAAAATGTATAAGCTCCTAGTAAATACTGGCTAACAATGTGGTATTATTCCATAGTAATTTTGAAGCATACTTTGAGTATTTGAGGTCTACATGATGTTATGATGCATAGTGGATGTAAATGGTTAACTGAACATCCAGCATCACACGCAGTTATCCTTTTTTTTGTGTGTAGCTAAAATCTGTTCCTTTAGCAAAAGTCCTGAATACAATATGATATTATTAACCATAGTCCTCTTGTTCATTAGATCTCTAGACTCTATTCTGCTACTCTTATGTCCTTTTTCTTATGTCAACCCCTTTCTTTCCCTTCCCCCCTGAACCATTCCTCTTGTAACCAAAGATTTATTCTCTGAATTTGACATTTAAAAAAAAGATTCCACAAGTGAAATCATTTAAATTTTTCTTTTTGTGTCTGGCTTATTTCACTTTGKATAATATCCCACAAGTTTATTCATGTTGTAGCAAAAGTTAGAAACTTTTTATTTTTAAGGTTCAACAATATCCTAATTGTGTGCATATGTGTGTGTGTTTGTGTGTGTGTGTGTGTATGATTTATTATTCATTCACCCATGTTCACTGCAACATTATTCACAATAACCAAGATATGGAAAATCTTTTACTAATATTTTCGTGGACTTTTTTACTTTCTTTTTTGCTCTTCTGCGGGTTGAACTCAGGGGTACTCTCCCATTGAGCTACATCCCAAACCCTATATTTATGTATATTTATTTATTATTTTGAGATAAGGTCTTGATAAATTGTTGAGGTTGGTCTCAAATCCTATCTCAGTCTTCTGATTGCTAGGCTTATAGGCACASTATGCCGAGTTTGGGTTAATATTTATAGATTTGAATTACTGTACTACCAATATGTTGAATAGATCATWTCAGCCCTGAGATCCAATTTCACATTCTGACCAGTTTGCAGTAAAAACAATACATTAAAGATTATTATTTTAATTCTTTCTCTTGCTCTTTCTGTCTCTCTCAGATTTCTGGACCAGTTGAAAATTTTATAGGCTGCATACAAGTTGTGGAAATCAATAACCAGGGAACTTTCATTCCATCCAAGGCAGTGAAAAAAAATCACGTTGAGAACTGCAGGTAAAACATCACTAGTGATTTTCAAATGATTTATTTTATAGTGATCCCACTAAAATGTGCCATTTCTAATTGACATTATCTGATCAGAACTGGAATATATTTCCTTTCTTTTGTTTTCCTTTATTCTTCAACATTCTAGTATCTTATAAACTATAGAATTTTTAAAATAATTCCCAGTGAAGATGGAGCACTTGTTCATGAGAGGTGTCCACTTTGTACTGAATAAGATGCTTTATATTGACAAACAAATGATCATTGTGTTGTGGTTAGAAAACATCTATCAGAGCTCCTTTTAAGAATGAACAGTCTGACCTGCAGAATATTTTTTAGAATGATAAAATGATACTTTTCTCCAAAATATATCTCTCAAAAGTTGCCTTTGTGCTTCAATTTTCATTACTTGTACCATATTCCTTACAAATATTTGGAAGTTGGAGTGAACTAAAGAGCACATTTGAGAAAGAATCAGGCATTAATGCATTAATGAAGTAGACAGAATACTACTTTTCCCTGATAGTTAAGAGCAAAATGTCATTTCTGTAGCTTTGTGTTTATTGGAAAAGGTACCATTTCCAATGGAGTTTATCTGAGTACATTGAGTAGGTAATTGTCAGGCTATGATAAATTTGCATAAATGAGTATATTAAAATGAGTTCCTCTACAGTTAGGAAGAATTATATTTATTTGAAAATTAAAGGGGCTGGGGATGTGGCTCAAGCGGTGGCACGCTCGCCTGGCATGCGTGCGGCCCGGGTTCAATCCTCAGCACCACATACAAACAAAGATGTTATGTCTGCCGAAAACTAAAAAATAAATATTAAAAAAATTCTCTCTCTCTCTCTCTCTCTCTCTCTCTCTTTCTCTCTCTTTCTCTCTCTGTCTTTAAAAAAAAGAAAATTAAATTTAAAAAAAAAGAATAATTCATTCTCCATTGTTGAATGAAAATTCATCTTTAAGCTAATATATTTAAAATTTATTTGTGACCTCAATGATATAATGGGATACTGGGTGCCTTTTGACTGTTTTGTTTTTATTTGTTTTTAATCAAATGAAACATAATAGTTGGGCTGGGGTTATGCCTCAGTGGCAGAGCACTTGCCTCACATATGTGAGGCACTGGGTTCTATCCTCAGCACCACATCAAATAAACAAACAAAATTAACATTTGTGTCCATCTATAACTAAAAAAAAGAAACATAATAGTTTATACTATAAACTGGATGATCCTGGCAATTTTAATATAATCAGATACTTGTAAGTTCTTATATCTTACCATTTTGTTTCCAATTTTCTATGGAAAACATGTTCTTTGATATTTTATTAGCATTCCCTAACATTGACTTAACTCTCAGTATCTTTGTTCCCTGTCTTCTCTGTCAAATGCTATGATATTTATTCATCTTGCATAACTGGAATTTTGCACCCATTGAACAGAAACACCCCACTTTTCCTTCCCTCTGGCCCTGACAACCACCCCTCTACTCTGTTTCTATGAGCATGGCTATTTTTACATTCCTAATATAAGTGGGGTTAATGCAGCATTTGTTTTCCTGTTTCCAGCTTACTTCACTTGGCACAGTGTCATCCAGATTCATCCGTGTTTTAGCATATGTCGGAATTCCCTTCCTTTAAAGGTCTATAGTATTCTACTGTGTGCATAAACCACATTGTCCTCATCCATTTTTCAGTGTACACTTGGGTTGTTTTCACATTTTAACTATTGTGAATGACATTGTTTTTGAACATAGATGTTCAAATATCTCTTCATGATCTTACTTTATGGTTTGGGGTRGACTAGAGTGGAATTGCTCTATCATATAATAATTCTGTGTTTAGTTATTTAAACAATAGCCATACTGCTTTCCACAGTAGCTTTACCATTTTATAATCCTACCAACAATGCACAAGTGTTCCAACCTCTCATCCTTATCAACTCTTTTTTTATAGTAACTATTTTAACGGTGATGAAGTAGAAAATCTTAGTTGGAATTTCCCTAATGATTTGTAATATTAATCATCTTTTCACATATATATTGGCTGCCCATAAATCTTCTTTTGAGAAAGGTTTAGTAAAGCCTTTAGTTTATTTTTCCAATTAGGCTGTTTGTATTTTGTCAAGTTTTAAGAGTTCACTGTATATTCTGGTTAGTAATACCATATCCTAGATATATGATTAAATATTTTCTTTCATTTCATATGGTATATTTTTACTCTATTGATGATAAATTTTGWTGTACATTTTTTAAAATTTTCACAAAGTCCAGTTTGTGAGTTCATTCTTGTCATTATTACCTCTAATGATTGGTGTCATATCCAAGAAAGCACTGTCAAGTTCAATGTTGTAAGTTTTTGCTCCATGTTTACATCTAAGAGCTTTATGGTTTTAAGGCATACACTTAGATCTTTCATCTCTATTGAATTAAGAGACCCACTTCATTCTTTTGTAGTTTTCCAGCACTATTTGTTTAAAAGACTGMTATTTTCCCCCCTTTAATGATCTCAGCACTCTTGTCAAAAATCATACATGCAAACGTTTATTTCTCAGCTCTCTATTATCCTGTACTGAACTACCTTGGCCTTTATTCCATTACCAAAATATTTTAATTATTAAAGCACTGTAGTATGGTTTGAAATCAGAAAGTATGAGACATGCATCTTTATTTTTCAAGACTGTCTTGGTTGTTCAATCTCTAGTGATTCCATGTGAATTTGAGGAGTTTTTTTCTGTTTCTGAAGAAAGATCATTGTGCTTTTGCTAATTGCATTGAATCTGTGGGTCACTTTGAATAGGATTAATAGCTTTATAATATTAGGTCTTCCAATTCATGAATGTGAGATGTGGTTTCACTTACTTATATTATTTTCACTTTCTCATCAATATTCTGTAATTTTATTGTATAAAACTGTCACTTCCTTGGTTAAATTTTTTAATAATTTATTTGTTTTGGTGCTATTATACATAGAATATTTCTATCATTGCCTTTACATGTTGTTTATTCTGGTATACAGAAATGCAACTGTGTATTTTGTATTCTGCTATTTGGCTAATATTTCTAGTCTCTGTGTTTGTGAGTATGTGTGTGATTGAGAGATCCTTGATATTTCCTATACATAAAATTATATTACCTTTGAAAGAAATTATTTCACTCCTTCATTTTTGATCTATATGCCCTTTATTTCTTTTTCTTGACTAGTTATTTTGGCTAGAACTTCCAGTACTGTGTTGAAGAAAAGTGGTGAAAGCAAGTATTTTGCCTTGTTCCTGATCTTAACAGAAAAGCTTTCAAACTTCCACCATTGAGTATATGGTTTATGTACATTATACCATGTTGTGGCAGTTTCCTTCCTTCCTAGTTTGTTGAGTGTTCTCATCATGAAAGAATGATRAATTTTATCAAATGATGGATCATGTGGGTTTTTCTTCATTTCATCAATGTGGTGGATTACACTGATCAACTTTTATATGTTGAAACATCCTCTCATATAAAGAATGAACTGTATGTGATCATCCTGCATAATCTTTCAATATGCTCCTGAATTTAGTTYGCTAGTATTTTGTTGAGAATATTTACATGAGTGTTCATAAGAGATTTTGGGTTATAGTTTTCTTACTGTATCTTTGCTCTGTTTTGGTAATCGAGATAATTCTAGCCTCATGGAATGAGTTCAGAAGTGTTTACTTTGGTTCAATATTTTGGAAAACTGTCAGAATGATTGGAATTATTTTTTAATTTTGTTAAAAATCACTAATGAAGCCATCAAGTCCAAGATTTCTTTTTCTTGATGTTTTGGGGAGATATTTTTCTACTGATACAATTACCTTACTAGTTATATGTAGTTCTATTTAGAGTTTCTAGTTCTTCATGATTTAGTCTTGGTAGATTTTGTGTTTCTACAATTTTGTCCATGTCTCCTACGTTAGCCAATTTTTTGGTATATGATAATTTTTCGTATACTTAATAATTCTTTTTATTTCTTTAGTGTGTTATATGTGAGCCACATGCCCAGCTCTTTTAAATTTTATTTAGAAACAGGGATTCACTAAGTTGCTGGGGCTGGCTTTGAATTTGCAATCCTCCTTCCTCAGCCTCCTGAGCCACTGGGATTATAGGCGTGAATCATTGTGCCAGGCTGTAGTATGTTCTTTGTATGGTTGTTAAGTCTAGTTGCTGTATTGTGTTAAGAACTCTGTTTTCTTTCTTGGTTGCTCTACCCACTTTTGAGGGTGGAATATTGTAGTCTCCAACCACTACTGCAAAATTGTCTGTTATCTCCCTTCAATTCTATCAGTTTTTGCTTCATATACTTTGATGAGCTGTCATTATCTAAGTGTTTGTAACCATTTTATCTTCCTGATACATTGAAACTTTTAATACTATATAATGTCCTATTTGTTTATTATTCTCTTTTGATTTGAAGTATATTTTGTTTGACATTAAAATAGCAACTCCTGCTTCCTTTCAGTTACTATTTGCATGGAGTCACATCTTCCATTGTTTGCTTTCAAACTATTGGTATATTTGGACCTAAAAAGAATCTTATAGGGAATATATATTTGGAGCTAGTGATTTTAGCCATTTTGCTAATCTCTTACTTTTTTTTTAAAGAGAGAGTGAGAGAGGAGAGAGAGAGAGAGAGAGAGAGAGAGAGAGAGAGAGAGAGAGAATTTTTAGTATTTATTTTCTAATTCTCGGCGGACACAACATCTTTGTTGGTATGTGGTGCTGAGGATCGAACCCGGGCCGCACGTTTGCCAGGCAAGCGTGCGACCCCTTGAGCCACATTCCCAGCCCCTAATCTCTTACTTTTGACTGCAGAGTTTGTTCCATTAATTTTAAGTTACAGATAAAGAGGAATTTGCTTTTGTTGTTTTGCTGTCTGCTTTTTATAACTAATGGGGATTTTACCCCTGCTTTCTTCCACTACTGCTTTCTTCTGTGTTCAGTTGATTATTAGTGATATATTTAAATGCCTTTTCAGTTTCCATACTTATATATTAG